AAAAAAGTTATTTGCTTTCTTTCATGTAGTTGTTTATTATATCATCAACTTGTCTTTATTTCATTGAAAAACAAATAAGTAAACTTCATATTGGAAAACATTTTCTCTTATATGAAATGAAAAAACAATAGCAAATTGATTATTACATATGAATCTTTTCAGTCGAGGGTAATGCGAGTCCGTCTCGACGAGCGTTATTTATCATCATTTGCGTTCAAAAAACTCATTAAGATCGCATTCTGTTCAAGTTGTTGTGCTGCTTTTTTGAGAGCTTCTAAGATCGATGGAATCTGTGAGAAAACACCTTTTGTTTTGGTCCATTCTTTAGCCCATTCTTCATATCTTTTCTCATTATTGCAATTACTGCAAAAGATAAAGATGGCATGAAGTTGAGCGACATCATGAACTAGAGGCACAGCGTTTTGACATAATTCACCAGAGATTATCATAAAAACGTTCTCACTATACACGTCTGTGAAGAAATCAACGCACTGATCAACATCATTAAATACGTTGATGTTGTTGACAACACATCGTAATTGGTCGATTGTATTCCGATAATCATGACTGTTTTCTGCATTGATATTGCTGTTCAGCCATATTAAAAGAATATTTTGGAGCATTGAGCTACTTGTTTCCCCATGTGTAGTAACTGTATGTTTCGAGGGACAATATACATACTTCATTTCCTCTACGGCATCGGTATACTCTGCTACTAGTGACTTCTTTCTGTCCATCATTCTTTACATGTATTTTTTTTTATTTGAAATAGTTGGAAAAAATGTTGATCAGAAAATAATAAAAGTATGTGATTTTATAGGGTATCAACTTCTTTTTTTAACTTTTTCCTGTCGTCATTCATATTTTTTTTCTTGTTATTTATTGGCAGATATTCCTTTTTTCGTTGTCGAGTATGTAGTTTTAAAAACAGAAGAAATCAACAGAGACATTCGCTCGTAGAGAACAAAGAGGAAAGAGATTGTTAAAATGTTGTTTACTTGACACTCGAAGAAACAGTTCGTGAAAAAAATCTATTTATTCTTGTACATAAAATAAATTTCTTCGAGCTTTCTTCTATTGTATTTTAATTAGTGATAGGACAGTTCCATATTAGTTCCAATCATGAGAATTATTTGATAGTTCGTTTGAATGGAACTGGTAGGTATAGATTAGTTCCCATCAATGAACCGTCAGATATAGATCAGTTCCTGTCAAAGAACTGGCAAGTGTAGATCAGTTCTTTTGACAAGAACTGAGCACAGAGTCCTTAACTCAGTTCTTTTGATTTTGGAACTTTGAACTGTTCTAGGCCTAGTTCTCTCGACTGTAAAGAGGGTCATACGAAATAAAATAGTTTGTTTGTTTGTGTTTCTGTCAAGGTCAAAGATCGAATAAAAGGCATATTTTGTCTTGAAATGATTAAGTCCTGTGGCCATTGATGGACGTGAGTGTAACAATGGTGACCATCGATGGGCGCGGTTCGGGGACAGCGGCCATCAGTGGGCGCAGTGTGGGGAGGGTGGCAAACGGTGGACGTGGGCGCACAACGGTCTGTAGTAAGTCCAACGACGAAACTCTTGAAATAGCAAAAGAGTTGACTGAAGGGTAATCGAAGTCGGGGAAACCAATGGTATCATTGGTTTTTCGATCAGATGTTTATATCATAATGTATACAAACATGGAGTATGCAGGGATCTCCTCTAGTAAGGTATACTAGGGGGGTATTTTTTATATTTCTATTATATATGGTGAGAGCAGCCTTGGATTTTCAAGTGTTGCATTGAGAGGATATATTCGATTTGTCAGCGGCGTTTGAAAGGCGTATCGTGGTGATTGTAACGATAATGATATATCATCTCGTGCAGTTATATATCTACTCACCTCTGTGTTATGCTCTCTTTTGTTCATCTCCCTCTTTCTCTCTTCTCGGTATAAGCGTGTGCCTTATGTTGAAGTAGGAACATTCTGGATATGTGAGCAAGCTTGTCAAACATTTACCTCGTGAGGAACGGTTAGCTACTCAACCACTTTGTCGTTACAATGGTGCTCCCCGGTGTCTGTTTGCTTTGCGAACACACTCGGGGATAGGTTGTTGGCATGAATTGTCTCGAGAATAGTTGATATTTCTCAAGAACATTCAAGAAAGAAATTAGTGGTGCTGTAGATTGACAAGGTGTTTGGAATGCGTAATTCATCTTTATGCTGTGCGGAGAAAGAACAGCTTCATAGAAGAAGTTGGGTGTGTCGAAAATTTCGTTTTTTTATCCTCGGCGTTCGAGATTGTGATGATATGTAGTTTTCAATGCGAATGATTGTTTGTAGGGGGTGGACGATGAAGAATATATGTGTATCGTAACTAGTGAACGGACCTCGTCGATATTTTTGACTTCAACTACAAATCCGAAATTTTTTTTTCAAACTTCAGTTCCAATTCTATAAAAAAAACTTTTCACATCCAGTTTCAACTCCAGATTGTTTTTCGTGATAGAATAGCATTATCACGACTGTTCTGCAGCTCTAAATGAGTGATAAAAAGATGAATTTTTAGGCGAATCAACGTTTTCTAATGTTTGCTCAAAAGGAACTTCGCTTTTTGCCTGCTATCTGGTAAATTTGAGAATATTCATGCCATGAAACATGTATAGCCAACTGGCAGATGTTATTCCAACTTCAATCCAGAAGAACTCTTTGAAAATGACTCCAATTCCACTGGAGTTGGCGTTAGAACTGAAGTATGGAGTCCAGTGTCGTTCACTAATCGTAACGAGTATATGAAAATATAAGTAACTTTTTTCGGAATGATTTCGTAAATAAAAACATTGTGTTCAGTGCTATTCACACAGTCGAGGGTCAAGCGAGTCGGTCTCGACTTGGGTTACTTTATATTATTTATTCAATAAATCTATATATTGTCATGTTATTTATAAAGACCTTGAGAGTAAGGGTATCATTGTCTTTATTATGTACCCATACACTGAATATACACTCTGACTTAGTTAGATAACAATAAAAATCGGCTGTGTAATAATTGTTCGTCAGGATGCATATATAATATTTCGAGGTTGACAAGATTTCAATCACTTCTATAGCTAATACGTAGTATATTGAAAATATCTAGACAAATATTCAAAGAAAAATGACGTAAATATAAACAGCATTCTTTGAATAAAGAAATATTCACCTATTAGCACTTAATACGAATGCAGTCAAGTGATTTTATAGTTAAATTAAAATCCAAAGCATTAAAAACATTCCGATATAAGAAACTTCTTATCTAATCGAAAATAAAAATACACAGAATAGAAAAAAGAAAATTGTTCTTGAGTCACGTTTTAAGATTATATAAAATACATTCTTTACTACTACATTCTCTCATTTTAACAACATTATTATGAGTGTTCGTATTGTATCGTATAATATTTTTGCTCCAGTTTATGCTGATCGTCCTGAACATTACTTTAAATGTCAACCTGAATTTCTTAAAACTGATTATCGATGGAATTTAATTCGAGATCAATTAGAACACGAAATTGTTAATCATAAAAATACAATTATTTGTTTACAAGAAGTTTCTCTTACACTTATACCTGATCTTGAATTATTTTTTCGTCGATTAAATTATAGTTTCTTTCATAATCTTTATGGTCAAATGCGTAATGATTATATGGGAGGGATTGCTATGGCAATTCCCATTACAATGCGACTTAATTCTATGTCTATTATTAGAATTGGAGATCGTATTCGATCGATGATGAAACTTCGTTCTGAACAAACCACGTCACTTCCAACTGATTTATGGGAAATTGCTGCGAGTCAACCGCATACATTTATCTGTTTACAATTAGTTATTAATGATAAACAATTATCTGTTGGTACGTATCATATGCCTTGTCTTTACAAACAACCTGATGTTATGTTAATACATTCGTCGATAATAAAAGATTTGATGTTTGAATTAGCAGCTGGACAAAATTTTATTCTAGCAGGTGATTTTAATTTTAAACCTCGAGATATTTGTTATAAATATTTAATCAAAGAAGAACATGTCGATTGTAATTTACCTGAATCTGCTATTGAACAAAAACTGAAAAGTGCTTATCGTGAAAAGAATGGAAGTGAACCTGTGTATACAGATTTTTCTCATAAATGTAATTCAGAACGATTTTGTGAAACACTTGATTATATTTTTTATAATGGTCATCTAACTGTGGATAATGTATTGCAATTACCCGATCAACCTACTAGTGAATCTTATCCTGATCAAACACATCCTTCGGATCATCTGATGATTGCAGCAACATTTCGATTGTTATAAATTTTTTCTAACAATATCATTGAAATCCATATTTTTTAAACAAGAAATATTTTTTTATTAATTAAAATCTATCGAACTTTCACGTATACTTACAGAACAAACAATTTCTTTCAAATCGAAAGCACATGGTAGGATTGTAAATAATATACGTTATTTTTCAGTTCTATTCTTATTGTTGATATAATATTTCAAATTTTATTTTTTTCATCGTTTCTTTTTTCGATGTTCTTACCTCATCTAATTTAATAAACAATTTTATATTTAAAATAAAGAAAAAGAAGAATTTTTCTTTTCATTTTTTTTCTAAATAAGCCGGCAACGACGTCTGCATTGATTACTAATACAAAATAACTTGTACTTTTAAACAAAACTCCGAAATTCTGTATTCGTTTGACATACTATTTAAAATATAATGTCATATATGAGATAATAACATGGAATATTCTGACGATTCGCTTAGATGTCCTATTAGCCTTGAGTTATTTGAAGATCCTGTTATTGGTGACGATGGACATACTTATGAACGTAAGAATATTATTACTTGGCTTGAAATGCACGGGACTAGTCCACTTACACGAGAACCAATGGATACGACTTCATTAAAACCTAATCATCTTATTCGAAAACTAGTTCATGAATTTCGTACAAGATTTGAACAAAAACAATATGAATTTCGTCTTGATGTTGATGTATGTAAATCTGAAGATCATCCTTTATTTGTATCATTTGGTAGGATTGTCTACAAAGCAGAATGGATCGGTAAACAAAACTCTTCTGTCTGCTTACTCAACATCAATGGAGTACGACCTATACGTGAATCTTCATTCTATGCTCAACTTAGTTGCCATCCAAATATTGTTCATACATATGGTATCGTTCGTAATGATCTACGTTCCGTTTTATTCTTGCAAGAATTAACATTACATGGCGATTTATCATATCAATTACGAGAGCAAGATTTTCATCCATCTAATAGAGTACTAATCGAAATTTTTATTCAACTTATTAATGCTCTTATATATTTGACGAAGAATAATATTGTTCATGGTAATTTAGCATGTCGCTCTGCGTTAGCATTTCGTCTACATCCAAGTGAAGAAAAACATAATTTATTCAAATTAACTGACTATGGTATTACAATACAAAGCACTATATTTTCTATAGTAGATGATGGTACTGACAATAATAGTTCACTTATGACAAGACCATTTCGTTCTTGTGCACCCGAAATTTTACGAAAAAAAAGTTATCATGTAACTTATTCGGAAAAGTCTGATGTTTATTCTATGGGTGTACTTATATGGGAAGCTCATTCACAAGGACAAATTCCGTTTGAATCCATTGAAAATGATTCAGATGTAAGAAGAGCTAGACGATCTGGTTTAGTTCTAGAAAGGCCTCAATCATGTGATACTGCGCTTTGGACACTCGTAGAACTCTGTTGGCAACTCGACCCTGATTGTCGTCCTTCATTTCAATCACTAAAAGATAATATATTAAAACTATGTAATGATTCTAATCCATCTGATATTCAGTAAGTGTTTTAGTTTGACAATAATGTTGACATTAGATATTAATCCTTTTTTTAATAGTGATTCACTCATATCTGAAAGCCAGTACACATCCGGCCAAAGAGAAAATACTACACTAAACGATTTCAATCAATATCCTGATAACTCAGTAAGTAGTATTTCTTCATCATCACAAAATCGAAGAAAATACTAAGAAATAAAATGTTTTATTAATATATTAATGTCTTTATTTGATGTAGTCTTATTAAATATCTTTAGTATATCGACGGCGACGGACAACAGTCAAATGCAATCCTTAGGCGACGAATGAATAGAGAAAATTACGATGGTACTATGATGACGATTGTTACTTGCATATATTGCCAAAATGATTATCCCCTGAATGAACCCGATGCGCATGA